TTGTTCAGATGATTTCAAGTTCATTAACTTTTAAATCAGTTAAATCATAAGGCATTATAAAACTATATTGAATTTAATCCTATCGGTAACTTTCAAATATAAGAATGACTTGTATGTGCATTTTAAAAATTTAAAAATTAGTGCGTATTAATAACAAACTTTCAAAACCTTCATGAAATAATACAAATTCAATTGATAAAATCGGTCAAAAATGGAAATACTAATAGAATAACTTATCTTTATGTATGAAACAAGGTTCGCGTTGGGGGGGTTGCAGTTGCAGTGAGTAGTAAGAATTATTTATGGTAGTTAAAAGTGGGTTATAAAGTAAGTTTGGGTACTAGATTATTATGTTGTTTTTATTATTTGTATAAAAGTGGGTTTGATTTTTATATTATGTTTATAGGGGTTTTATATTTCAAATTCAAGTTTATGCTGTTGTATTATTATGTTTTTTTTGAAATTTTATTTGATTAAATAAATATGCCATTTAATGGTTATTGGTAAATTAAAGAAAAAAAAAAGAGTTAGAGGAAATTATGATATTGAAATTTTAAGGAGGTATGTATATATATGTTTTTTTGTAGGTGAAGTATTTTATATAGTATGGTGATTGGTTTTGTTGAGATTGAATGTTTAGTGGTTGTTAATATTGAAAGGAGTAAGGGTAATATAGTAAGGAGAGGATTAAGTACTAATTAATTTATGAGTAATATGTAATAAATGTATGTTGGATTATAAAGAAAAGGGAAAATTGTGAAGTTATGAAGATATATTATAGTTGTCTTTTTGTAAAGTCACTTTTATATAGTCAGATTATTTTTATAAGCATTACTTTTTAAAAAATTATTGATGATTTATTTATTAAAAAATTTTATATAATGATTATGTTATTAAAATTTTATAATTATATTTTTTTATATAAATTAATTTGTTTGATTATAGAGGAGAAAGATTGTAAAGTGAGGTCGAGATGAAAATTAATAAAAAGTAAAAAAAGGAGATTATTAGGATAGGTATCACTTTACCAACAGTTCTTTCATAGAAACAACATTTTACTGTCAACTATTTAGTGACAATTATTTCATTGACAAGTATGTTTCATCGACAAGTTGATTTTACTAACAGTTTATTTCACTGAAGTTGATTTCAAATACAAGCTTTTTTTTATAAATTCTACCAACCTTAATTTAATTTTAAGCTGACTTTAAGGACAATGACCTGAATTATTTTGTCAGTGAAATGAGCTTCAGTAAAATAAACTGTTGGTGAAATATACTTGTTGGTGAAATAATTGTCAGTGAATAGTTGTTAATGAAATGTTACTTTTACGAAAGAATGTTTGTGAAATGAGCTGAATTGGATTATATATATGATGTTAGGATTGTTTATAAAAAAGTTTGTTGTTGTATTTGTAGATATAAAAATGTTTATTAATTTAAGATGGTTATATTAGAGTATGTTTGGCGTTGTTTTGAATAGAAGATAAAAGAAAATTGAGAGGAAAGAAGTTGTGTGTGGTAGTTAAAGGAGTGAGAAGTGTAGAAGGAATTATAAGATGTTTGTATAATGAATAGATAATGATAGAATGAGGAAAATAAAGGTTTTATATTAGAGAGATTTTATAGAGGTTGAAGTCCTTGGGTATGTATTGAATATAATCATTCATATTCATTTAATGCGGCTTTTGGACTTTTTAGATATTTGATGTTGAAGTTTATTAGGTTGAGAGTATTTCATGAAGTGATACAGCTCATTGCAATATATACTTGATCTTTGGCAAATATAGAATCATCTATGGTAGTTGTTACATGAGGTAATGTTAGTCTTTGGACTTTATGGGTTGTTAAGTAAAGGCATTTTGAATCAGAAATTGTTTTCATGAAGCTCTTTTTCCATCAATATAAAAGTAGGTTGTTTCTTTTTGAACTATGACTTTGTTTATTTTAGTAAATGTAGGGAAGGTTACTTCAACATTGTGATTGTCAATAAAATTTGTTATGATTCCAATTAAGCCATTGCAAATGTTGTCATTAAATAATTTGTTATTAAGGAACATGACACGTGTACCTTCTTGTAGATATATTGAGAGAGGTAGGTTTGTTGTGTGCTTGAATTAGAGAAAGAAGTGGTTGTGGTTTAAGATTTCGAAGTCAAAGGTGTCTTTTGATAATGAGATAAGAGGTTTAGAGGTAGTGTGGTCTAAAGGAAGATAAGTGCAGAGTAGACAGTTTATATCTTGAGCTTCATAGCGGATATCTACGATATGTGTTGTATTGTAAAATTGAGTAAGATCGTTAGTTAAATTAATTTTTGATTGTAGAATAGTGAGAGATCTATTGGATAAGCGTCCTATATGAATTTCTTGTAGGATGTTATAAAAGTCATGGTCATCATATTGTCTTTGTGGTAGAGTTAAAAAGAGAAGAAAAAAAGGTAGCCAGACAAGAGATTGAAATATGTATTTTGGTTTGATAGATGGTAGTTGGGCTAAGTTGCCTACTAGTAGGGTTAGAATTCCACCAAAGATGAGATTGTTATTGTGAAGAGTGGAGAAAATATTGCTAGTAAAAGTAAAAAGATCTCCATTTAACATTGAGATTTCTTCTATTATTATATAATTTATTTTTTTTAAGTTTGATTCATTATCGGTATTAGAGTGAATTAGGGTTTCATAGTGATTATCGTTGAAGTGGATTTTGAGTAAAGAGTGTAGTGTTTTTCCATCTACGTTGTGAGCGGCAACTCCAGTAGAGGCCATAAGTAGGTAGGTTTTGTTTTTTGATTATAAATAAAAAAGTAGTTGTTGTAATAGAAAGCTTTTTCCTGTTCCGGTAGATCCTGTCAGAAAGAAATATAGATATTTTTCAGTTGATGAGGGACCTCATATATTGTATAAGGTAGTGTATATTTTATATTAGTCATTTTTGAGAGTTATAGAGAAGCAGGAGTTAAGATGATAGGGTCGATGTTTTTGTAGAGAAAGAAATTGGTTGAAGATTAAGTCAGTTAGGTCGTGGTTTTTTAAGTCTTGTAAGAGAGTGTGTAATATAGAATTATAAGAGGTGAATAGGAAATTTTTTTGATATAAGTAACTATTATATTGTTTTTCAGTTTCTTGTTGAAATTGTTGAGGGAAAGTAGCAGCGAATCGTTCTTTGTAAGTATTAAATTTGGCAAGTAAATCTTGTTTAGATCTAGCAGAGAATTTGAAGAGTAGATGTTGAAAATAGAAGGGTTTACTGTCTTCTATTCTATATGAAGCAAATCTTAAGAGAATAAGATTTTTTTTGTACAACTAATCTGTTTTATGATCACGGTTCTGAGATAAATAGGAATTTAATTAGGTTGTTTGGATCTGATGGTGTAATTACGAAAATAATTTGGATATATAATATTATTAAAAGTTTTGTGAGTTGGGCGATCAAAATATTTGTCAATTGCATCATCCCAATAAGGAATGTCATTGTTAGGATTATCTTCATCAGTATTAGTAGAGTTGTTTAGTAAATGGATGGGTTTGACAAATCGGGGTCTGAGTTCGGATGGGGCAGAAGGGAGATAAACGACGGAAACAAAACATCTAGATAATGGATATTGTAATAAAAGCACCATTAGTTCCATAGCACCTAGGTGACATGCTATGATGTGTTTTTTGTAATCTTTATATTCATCGATATCGAAAAGTTCTGAAAATTCAGGTTTTGTTACATATTTGGTCATATATATAGCAAAACCATTAGAGGTAATGTATTGAAAGTTAATATAGCCTCTCTATATAAGAAGGGTTTCAGAGTTGTAAGGAATGATCATTCTATCTTCTTCTTTAGTGCAGCAGTATATAAAATGTAAGGTATTTAGTATATAGTAAGTAAATTCAGAGAGAGGATGTGGAAAGCCTTTGGGACATTGTTTGTTGGTATAGCTGTGTGGTCTACATCTGTTATCACAATAGTGAATTTGAAATGTGATAACTAATTGGTACAAATCAGGTTTAGTATTAGGGTTTGAAACATCTGCTCGAATTGTGTTTAAGGCGATAAGTTCAGGTGTTTTTTTTTCAGTGTAAGCAAAACCGTGAGTGTGGATGGTTCCTCTGTTTTGAAACTTGTTCTGTTCGAAAAAGTGTTCCTATTTTCTTCATCTAGTTAGTTTTGGGTTTTTCCATAATTTGTTTCAGATATTAGTTAAATAGTTGCGATAAAAAAGAAGATGTGTAAAGGGTGATTAGAAGGAAGGGTGTCATGATTATCAGTGAAAAGTAAAATGTTATATAATTGGACGAAAAAATTGTTGCATGTTATTTTTCAGATCTTCTTTGCAATCACTGTAGTATTAGGCTTTATTATGTATTATTAATGGCTAAGTGCAATTTTCACATAAAAATAATTACCAAAATAGAGCCATTAGATTTTAATATTAATGATAAAAAATTAGAACTTGTTTTGTTTTAAATAGTTAACAATTTGAAGGGATTATTTAACTGTGTTAATGTGATAATAAAAGATGATAATTCTAAATAGATAATTCTGAAATTTGGTGTATTGATTTGAAAATATTGACCCTATTAAAATCTACATTTATTCTTATACTCTTTTATTATGAACTCTAACCTTAACTTCTAATTTACTCTAAATAATAAGTTCAAATTTCAGCATCATCAGAAAATAATGCATTAAATAATGTCAGGGATGATGCTGAAACAAGATGATGCTGAAATATGGGGTCTCAATTTAGAAATATAAACCCTACTGAAATCCACCTATACTTTTTTATTCTAAACACTAGCCCTAAACCCTAACTTAACTACAAAAAAAAAAAAGCCAAAAAAACATCACCAAAAATTTTAAAATTTCATATTAAAATAAGTCAATGTTTTAGCATCATCCCCGACAAATAATTACAAATTTTATATAAGCAACTATATTAGATTCAACCAATCAGATTTCATAAAGGGTAACATTCCAAAATGGTTCGATATTGTACTATTTTTCTGGAGTAATTCTTATATGTCTTTATATTTTGATTAAATAATTATTGTTTTTTTTTTTTTTGAATTAAATTCATTAAAATGATTAAATAAATATCATTATTTTTATGTTTTTGAAACATTTGGGTCGGTAAGTAATGCAAAACGCAAAATTAACTTTCGTTTAATAGTCAGGACAGATTTCTTCTAAACTTAAGCAAGTTTTCTTGACAACCACCTAGCAAAATTTGATAAAATTAAAAAAAATTCATGTAATCTGATTAGAAAATTATTGATTATACTTCTCTCAAAGTTTAAAGAAAAATTAGCTTACTAATAGAAGGGACAAATTCTTTCTAAACTTTAAGCAAAGTTTTTCAATAACTACCTAACCAAATTCGATGAATTGTTTTTTTTACTTTAATTCTACACATTAAAATAAAAAAAAAATCATCGAATTCGTCAGGTAATTATCGAGAAAACTTCAAAATTTTTTAAAAAAGTTATTTCTTTGAGCGAAGTTTTCTTGACAGCTACTTTCCAAATTCGATGATTATTTTTTATTTTATTCGGTGAATTTATAAAATTAAAATAAAATAAACTTATCGAATTTAGTAAGATAATGAGAAAATTTTGCTCAAATTTTAAAAAAAATTTCAAAAGCATTTAATTTACTGATAGACAGAACAGATTTTTTAATTTTTTCACGATAACCATCAGACAAAATTTTATAAAAGTTTTTTCATCTTAATTTTATGAATGTGTAGAATTAAAATAAAAAAGTTTTATAGAATTTTGCCAGGTAGCTATTAAGAAAACTTCGTTCAAAGTTTTTAAAAAGATTGCAAAAATTGGTTATGTATATGTTGGCCGGTGATTAATTCAATATAGTTTTATAATGCCTTATGATTTAACTGATTTAAAAGTTAATGAACTTGAAATCATCTGAACAAGTA